ATACACAGGAAAGAACTGCTTGAACAGGAACAACACGAATCAGGCTACAGAAATCCATAAAATAAATTCCTTGGTTGTGTTTTCTCTCTGCCACCCCTCCCCACCCTGGGGCTGCCAGCTGGAGGCTAGAGACAGGGAACTAAGGAGGGGCTGGGAGTGGGTGGGGACAACTCTGTACAATTAACTCGAATTACTATTTAAGATATCTTACTGCTAATCCTCCCTGCATATACACAGTAACATGGGGCTGTAGAGAAAAATCCCAGGGGCAATGTAATTCTGCATTCTTTCAACTTTTTCCATTATTTCACATAATAAACTGAGGATTATTAGGAATAACTGACACACTTCTCCACCGGCCATAATCATTAATTACCAATGGCGGATGGGTATGTTATGGACTAGTCCTAAGAGAGTATTATGACAACCATCACGTTACGTGCATAAGTACACCAACAGGGAAAACATGTCCACAGTATATTTCGTGAAAAAGGACAAGCAATACAACCAGATAAACCACTTTTTTTTGCAAATGTCCTCAGCTCCCATTAACAGAGTGATGAGCTGGTTCAAATCACTCCATTTTGGGGAACAGCTGTTAAAGCACTCTGCTTTTAGGGCTCTGTGTATTAACAGTCACCTACACCTGCTTATTCTGGCTTTCCCCCTTTTGCTAAAAATCTCCTTTGCAAAGGAATTACTTTGATAAAAGTCTACTAAAAAAATTACACATGTCATTAGAATAATGGAATAATCAAGTGTCTTCTATTTAACATGTACCCTCATTACTGGGGGGGAATGGGTAGGATTCAGATTACCCTGTGTAGTATGAGTATTCGCTGGTGACACCAGTCCATGTCACAGAGTTCCCATGAAGCTCATCTCCCCTGTCATTCAATAAGCAAGCAATAAAACAAAAACACAGCCAGGTGAGCACAGAAAGGCAGATACAGACTTTGGACTGGGTTAAGTGCTTATCAGTTATGCCAATACTAATTCCAAACAGTCTTAGCTTACACTGGGGCAAGGAAAACAAGGCTCCAAAGCTGGCATTTTCAAGGTCCCCTGAAGCACTGTGACCTTACTGTAGGTGAAACTTAAGCAACCCATGCTCTTTGATAAGTCTAAGTTGGACTGTATAAATACTGTAATCACCCAAATAGTTTAACTTTCATACTTCTGGGGATGGGGGTTATCTCCAAAATTAGCAAGCTAATTCTGGAAAACTAATTCTAGGGCAACAATCTTCACCCATCATTGAATAATCCAGTCCTCTAGAAAGAAATCTATCCAGCTTTGAGTTGGTGATCTTCAATAAGGGGATCAAGTCCATTAAATGGTGGAGAGACTGTCTCTTTAACAAACAGTGCTGTCAAAACTAGATATCTGAGACACTATGTAAAAAAACTGACCCAAAATGGACCTAAGATAGAAATGTTAAACCACAACTATACAGTTCATGAACAAAAGCAAACGAAAAAGCCAGAGGTTCTAATTTATGGTATAAATCGACTATAAAACATTACTAATAATGCACAAGCTAAACCAGATTACTGGGAATTCTTAAGAAATGAAATATTTTTGTACATTAAAAGACGTCATCAAAAGAAAAAGAAAATCTACTGTGGGAAAAGTATTGGCAATGACAAGGCCTACAGAAAATGCCAATATCTAAACAAAACTACAAAAGTGGGCAGGACATGAACAGATCAAAGATAGGCAGGCAGATGATAATCACAGGAAAAGAAGACTGTAATCATTAGCCACATGAGAAATACAAATCAAAATCACAATGAGATAGTGCCTCACCCAGCAATAATAGTGATAAAAAGTCAAACCAACCAATGTACCTTAAACCCAAAAATCAACAAATGATGCTGGTGAAGATATAGGAGACTGGTCCTCTCACACAATTACTAGTGGGATTGCAAAATGGTACGGCCAGTGAAAAACAACATGGTACATTCTCAAAGAGATGAAAAAAAAGAAAATATAAATCCATATAATCTAGACATACTTCTCCCAACTGTATATTCCAGAGCTGTGACACAAATAGACTTCCGCAAATGCATGTTTACCACAGCAAAACACATAATAGCAGAAAAATGGAAGCAACAGAAGTGTCCATCAGTGGATGAATGGATAGTGGTGTTTACAATGGAAGACTGTGGCAATAAAGAATCATGATGAATCTGCAAAACATTTCACAACATAGCAACTTGTGAGCTGTTATCTAAGATACAACTATTGTTGCATTACGTTTGGTATAAATGAGAATGAAGAAAACAAGATTCAAGGAAACAATTCAAAAGACAAATGGCTCACCGAGAACCAGAGCCCAGAAGTACAATGTGGTGCTGGGCTACCACTAACAAATTCTTCTGACCAGGAACACAACCGAAGGTTCAACTTAAGAGGAGGCTAAAAGTGTTAAATGAAATGGATATTACAAAAACCAGATGTACTTGCCTGACCAAGGCTGGAAGAACTCTTAAGATAATCTAATTGGAATGGAAGGTGTTCTCAGAGACCTTTCAGCCAGACTTGCCCATAAAATAAATTAGATCAAAGAAGCAGTAACTGCCCCAAAGCAAGGATGAGAAAGCAGAGGGGGAGGGAATGACAATGGAGGTGGGGAGTCAGGCTGGAAAATGGGGATGGCCTGAGAAGATTGTGATCAATGTCAGTGAGGCATTTGTGTATGTAATGTAAAAAAACATATTTGCTATGTAAGCTTTCAGTTAAAACACAATAAAATGTCAAAGATGCCCAACATGTAAGCCTTTTCATTTATTTAAAAGAACTGTAGAAATGTCTTTAATTTTGTATTTTAACATAAGTCTGACTAATTTGGATTAAAAATTTTAGTTAACATTATTACACAAAAAGGCCATTTGCTATTTTATTCACAATTAGGTCAGTATTAATTTTGTATGGGTCACTAAACAAAAACACAACCAAATTAAAAACAAAACAAAAACTAACTTAAATCCCTCCCCTCACTTTGAAAACATTTTTTAAAGAAAAAGCTACAATTGGGCAGGCTCCTTAAGTGTCCCCAGTATCAATGTCACGAGACAGAACACTAGTAGCCCTTCAGGGAGTGGGGAAATTATGTAAAGAACATTTTCAATTCTAGGAAATGGCTATCATCCCACCTGCATGGATATTGAGAAGATTAAAAACACCAAGGAGAATACATTCAAGTTAATGGAAACAAGTCTTTATTAAGTAACTTTTAATATCAGAAAAATAAAACTCTTATAATTCTCTTTACAGCAAATATATAATATCAGTGCTTTGGCCATCTTAAGTTAAAGGCCCTTTATCATAAAATATATGGTTTTTAAACTACTCAAATTGAATTTATAATCCCTATGACTTCCCTACATATACATAACAAAAGAGTGTAGTAAAATTAGCAAATACTAAACTATATTGATAATTTATCATTCTTAAGTTTGTGGTTTTTAGAAACAGTACACGCACCTAATATAATGTCGATTCCTTGGCTTATTAGTTGCAGTGTACAATGCAATAAAATACAAAATACATGCTTGGTGAACATTCATTCATATCTACACGACGGCAGCTAAAGATTAGGTTTCAATACTGACATTTAACTATCCTACAAGCAATTAGCATTACATCATAATATGCCATCAAGGCAACTTTTTTTATACTGAAAAATCAAAATAAAAACCGTTATTTGTAAACTTTTATACGAAATGTAACTCTTCAAGTGGAAATAAAAAATAAAATTTGTCTATTTACTATTCAATACACATAGGATTTCAATTTTCATTATACTGAGAAAAAAAGCTCTTTTGTGTTTGGGAAAATAACGCTTCAAAAAATAATTAGTAGAAAAACCCACCAGTATAACATTTTGTCCTTTCAATGCCAGCAGATTTGGGAACATACTGAGGATGAAGTTAGACATCCACAGGTGAAATGTAAAAGTGTATTTTAAAGTGTCTTTCCTTTCACTGGAAATAATTCTGAAATGAAGTAAACTGACTGGAGGTTGTCACAGCTGCTTTATGTTCAGGGTACTGCTTTCCCTAGCTCCACCTCCCCCCAAAAAACTATTAAAAAAGAAAAATATATTTATAATGTGCAAGACAAATATGGATTGAACAGAAAATGTTTCACATTTTGATCTAGTCTAAAAATTAATAGCTTGATCAGACTAATGAATGGAATGTTCGCATTCTCAACTATTAGCCACAAGGTGCGTCCCAAGGCCTCTGCGAAATGAGGAGACCCGGGGGCCATTCCCACATGCCTTGCGAGAGGCAATGGGGTGGAAGTCACTTTCAAGACAAGTGCATTCCTGATTCACTGATCACACCAGCTCTGAGCATTCTGGGCGAGATGAAGGTCAATGTAGCAGTTTTTGTCCCAAATTTTAACCAGTGATCTAGTTACCTGCCATCGGCCCTATTTCTTACCAGTAAGTAATCACAATGCATTAAAAAGTCACTTGTAATCCTGCAGAATTAGGCATAAGTTGTTGTAAAATAAAAAAACAAACAAACCTGTTTTGTCAAAACTGGCAGTGTAAAGAAGGCAGCACTGGAAGTGTCTGATTCATCTGTAATGCCAAGTACCCACCATAAACTTTTAATGTGGTTAGGCTTTGGGACCCATCGTTTTGAAAACTTAAAAAAGTACATACTTTTCTCACAGGCTCACATAACCTACAATTCTCTTCACTCAGCCGAGCTGAACTTCAGCTTTAGCAAATCTTATACAAGCTATGTCTCTAGGTCTACAGGGTAGCATTAAGAATTCAAACCAAACCAATAGACAAGAGACCACTTAGGTTTAGTGTCACCATAGCAGCCTTTTATAAGTTTACTAACAACTTTAGCCTAATCCCAATAAAGCCTGATAACAGTCATAAGAATTCATTAGGAAGTTTACTGGGGGGTACCATTATACCCATGCCTTTACGAGTCCATATAGAGATATAGTATTTATGTATATATATATAGTTAAGAGTGAATTTGGATTGCCTGAGTAACAGCTGTCTGGCAAACTGGACATGATGGCGTTCTCTTTTCACAGATCTTGTTGGCACATTCCATGCAGAAGAGGTTGTGGCCACATGGAACTAGGGCAGCAATGACTTCATTCTCAAAGCAAATCACACAGTCGTGCTTTCTTCTTGATTCTGGAGGTGAGCTGGAGGTGGAACCACCATTGGAAGAGGAGTAACTATTGGTACCATTAGAAAAAGCAGGGATGTATATTGGAAGGCCGACATGGTTGCCTGTACTAGGTGGGTCGCTCCTAACCCTCCGAGCAAGTGGGTGTTCCATGCTCTCGGGAAACGTAGGAGACAGACGAGGAGTAGATGGCTGGCTTCCTCTGCGCTGAGTCTTCATGTTACCAGAAGGATCACTCCCAAAGCTCGAGAGTGTGTTCACTGGTTCAAATGGAGTCCAGATAGTTTGAGCGGATGTTGGTAAAGAGTCAAAGGCTGGAGAGTCAACAGCAAGATCTTCTGAGCCCACTGACGGAAGCGTATCTCCAAACCAGAAGTTGCCGGTGCTAAATGGGCTCGTTGGACTAAAGTCAGCCAGCCTATTGCTTCCGAAGTAGGAGTCTGTGGAACCACTTCCTAGGGAACTGGAGCTATCATTTCGATAATTGGAGATCATTCTCGCACGGCTTGGAGGAACTGGATTGGAAGAGAGCCACGCCGAGCCGAGAGTGCTACCTTCAAAGCTCACGTCGGTACCATTGTAATGAAAATCATTCTCCTCATTGAGTTCAATATAGTTTCCTGTACGCATGGCAATATGCATTTCTATTTCCTCGCGTGCTCTGTCAACGTTTTCGGGCATCCCTGTCACTTCAAAGACAGGCTCCTTATCTCTGCTTGGAGTCACGATGTACGTGTGGGTCTGCTGCTGGATTCTTTTAATAGTTGCTCCTTTGGGTCCAACCACGAGGCCGACCACGCGATAGGGGACCCTGACTTGAACAGTGGTCTGACCGGGCAGATTGGGGCTACACGACAACCCTCCCAGGGCCGGGCCGTTTTTGTTTCGAGATGCACGAATCATGGAGAAGTGCTCCGCAGCTGAAAGGATTTCTCTTTTCGCCATGGCCACGTCTTCCTTCCGCCCTGTGACGACAAAAATGGGCTCTTCACCACGAACAGGGGTCTTGATGTAAGTGTTTGTCTTGGCCCTCAGCGCTTTAATTTTACAACCTGTTGGAGTGAAAAGAAAGCAGAATCAACACCAACTTCAAAGACAAATCACCAAAGACCCCCCTTTTCAGGCTGTATCTGGTTGTAATTACCCCTTTTTTTCCTTAGTTTCTGAGTTCTTCTTTAAGGTGCCCTGGGGCACAACAATTAAATACACAGCTACAGGTCAGCAGTTCAAGCCACTCCTTGAGAGATAAGACCTGCTGATCTACTCCCGTAAACATTAGGGCCTAAGAAATGCTTTGGGGCGGCCCTTGTCTCCCACACAGGACCACAGCCAACAATTTGTTCTTTACAACTCATGCACAGAGATCCTGAGGCTCATTTTGCAGCTGGTTTTTCATTTGGCTCCCCAAGTTATTCTCTACTGCAAGTATAGCTCAGAAGTTAGGTCCTAGTAAATGAAATAACCCATTGGCCCGTCACACACTAGGCCTGCTCTGCCTGTTTCCTGACTGCAGTCTTTACAGTAGCAGATTGCCAGGCCTTTCTTTCACAGGGTGCAGAAACCACCAACTCTTAGGAGGCGCACACCACCCGCACCTCAAGGACTTTAATAGTCATTGCACATGACTAACATGCAAATAACATGCATATACTATGCAGCATGTTATATATACCTTGAGGGGTTTTAATGTTTTGAACACTTTTACTTTATATAATCTTGCAGCATGTGAGAGCACAGAAAAAGAACATACACATGAACATATTCAGTATCTGAAGCCTCATTTAATCTACACAGTAACCTTAGAATCAAATTATTATCATTCTTTTATTGCTAAGGAACGTAAAGTCCAAAAAAGCTGCACACACTGTCCAAGTGCACAAAGCGGCAGAGTCAAACACAGTTGGATTTAAAATCTATGGTCTTTCTGCTAAGTCTAGAACCTCAATTTTCACACCTATATGACAAAATTACTTGACTTTTACTTCTTTCACCATTTTAATGATATTCTTTCTCCTCTATAAAACTCAACTGATGGCAATAAGCTGAATGCTTGTAGTTAGGTAGTTAAACATATACCACAGGTGAATCCTAAGCATTCAGAGCCAGCTGGATTTATTACCTGCCCCAATATGTTTACCAGTTCTCTAACTATTATGAATCCGACCTAACCGTGACTACATTAAAAGCATAGCTGTTTTTTGTTTTATCCATCCCTCCACGCCCCAGCCCCCACACCCCCTTTTTCCTCTTGCTGGTCTCAAAAAGGGAAGTCACAGAGATGTGCTATGGCTGTCCTGGAAGAAAGCAAATACTTCATGCTGTGAACTGCCTGTGGGGACCTGGAGGCAAGAATGCTGGGTGTTCTATAAGCACTGACAGCTTGAGGGAAAATGGAGGCTTAAAATCCTAAGGAAATGACTTCTGTCAACAAGTGGAGTTTGGATGAGAACTGCAGTTGATAGATTGACTTTACTCTGGTGAGAACCTCAGTCAAGGATCTAATAATACTGTGCCTGGACTTCTGGTCAACAGAAGCTCTGAGACAACAAGCCTGTGTTATAGGCTTTGTATGTGTGGTCAGTTACTAGATAGCAACCCTAGTAGGAACAAGAAGCCAATGACTAGTAATAACAATAGATTTAAGATGGGTATCACAGGCATGGGAGAAGGGTGAAGGGATGGGGATGGAAATCAAATAAGAAGGAGAGAAATAAATGTTAACAAAGACCTTATCTAGGTGAGACGATTATCAAAGTGATTTCCTAGGAAACACGCAAGTAAAAGCCATGCCACCAGAGGGGAAATCTTCAATGTCAGGAACAGCAGTTTAAACTTCAAGAATGAAATATATGCTCTCTACTCGGAGTATTTATTTCAAATATTTTTCTGTGTTGTTGTTTTTTTTTTTAATATGGGAGTGTTCTGATTTTTGACAAGAGTGTAAGACATGAAATCAACTTTTTCCCATTCATTGAATAAATCAACAATACTTGGGTTATAAAGACATCTCAAACCTCAACAAACACAAACATCACAACTGCCCTTTGTGCATATTTTCACTTTGGGAGATCTTCTATAGCTTCCTCACAAAATTCCCTTATATGCTTTTGTTTTAAAGGGGAAGAAAATATCCTCTTTAGAAATAAGAACACATACAACAGTGGAGTGACAGTATATAACTTTATTTTATCATTAAGAAAATGAAAACTTGCCCTGACATTTAAAAGCTTTTTGTTTTTTACCCTAAGTGGTCATATCTGCCTCCTCCTCCTCCTTACTGGTTTATTCTAGTATCTTATAAAATTTGTTAGCCCTTAAATATGCTTTGCTCTTATCTCTTGTCAAATATACCTCTGATTAACCCCAAAATCTCTCCTTATCTCCCTATCTAGCCTATTTAACAAATATAGCTATCGGGAAAACATAAAATTGTACATATGAAAGGCTCTATGAACTCAAGAATAATGTACAAACAGGTAGAGCCGATAATATTACAACTACTACATATTCATCTTTCAAGGTCCAGTTCAGAGGAAACAATCGTTGCTGTTAGGTGCCGTTAAATAAAGTATGACCCATACTGACCCCATGAACAAAAGATCAGAACTCTGTTCTATCCTCTGCCATCCTCACACTTCTTGACATATTAGAGGCCACTGCGGCACTCACCGTGCCAATCCACCAGGTAGAGAGTCTTCCTCTCCCCTTTGCTGACTCTCCCCCCTTCAGAGCATCATGTCCCTCTCAAAGGAACAGCTCCTCCTAACAACATACCTGAAATATATGAGGTGAAGCCTCATTGTCTTTGCCTCAAAAGAGAACTCTGGCTGAACTCTCTCCAAGACATGTTTGTTCTTTCAGCAGTCCATGAATGTTCAGTGCTGTTCTCCAACACCAAAGGTCAAAAGGCAGCAGTTCTTCTGTTATCCTTAGTCACTGTCCAGCTCTCAGATGCATACTAAGTGATCAGAAAGGCCGTGGCCTGAATCAGATGCATCTTAGCCCTCAAACTTAAAGGAGTATTCCTCAGTAATTTGCAAAGTTCCCTAACTACAGGCTTCTCCAGTGCAATACATCTTCTCCTTTCCTGCCTGCTGATACCAGTGGTGTTAATGGTGGATCCAAGGAAGATGAAGTTGTTGACAGTTTCAGTTTATTCTCTATCACAATGTTGCCTACTGGTCCAGTGGTAAGAATCTTTTCCTCATGTACACCCGTGTTTATCACGGCTTTGTTCACAATAGCAAGGAGCTGGAAACAACCTAAGTGTCCATCAACAAACGGATAGAGAAGCTGAGGTATATTCACACAACGGAGTACTATGCTGCATTGAAAAACAAGGAACTCATGCAATATTATTCAAAATGGGTGACCCTGGAGGACATTAATGCTGAGTGAAATATCTCAATCACAAAAGGACAAATACTGCATGGTGCCACTGTTGTAGAATGGGACTGACATCAGGGTTGAGGTAAGACTGAGAAAAACTGGATAAATTATGTACACGGCATTGAAACAGATGAGGGAGAGAACAGTTTAAAGGCGATATATGATAGGGTGTTATGGTTATCACGAGTCCAGAAATAAGGTTGCATAGTGGAGTGTACTCAGGGTGGTGGGGGGTGTTGCGGGGGGATTGTATACCAATGAAAGAATTTTTCTTTTACTTTTCAAAGAGAGGCGCAAACTGGGAGGTAGGAGTGAACAGGGAGTAAAGTGCAACAATGAATGAATGGAAATCCAAAATCTCTGTAAATGTTCATTAAAATAAAAAAAAAAAAAACCAACACAAAAAACCAAACCCAAACTTTTTCTTGACATTGGAATGCAACCATATTGAAGGCTCTATTCTCTAATCTTCTGCAACAAAGGCTTCAAGCCTTTCTCACTTTCAGCAAGCAAGATTGTGTCACCTGCACAATGCAGGTTATTGATGAGTCTCTCCTTCCGATCCTGATGCCACACTCCCCCTTCAAAGAGTCCAGTTTCTTGAATGATTTGCTCAGCATACAGTCTGAAAAGGTGTGGAGAGAGAATACAATCCTGATGCACTTCTTTCTTAATTTTAAACCATGTAGTGTTCCCTTGCTCTGTCTGTACAACAGCTTCCTGGTCCAGGTATAAGTTTCACATGAGCACAATTAAGTGCTCTAGGATTTCTATTCTTCTCAATTTTAGCCATAACTTGTTAACACAGTCAAATGCCTTTGAATTCATTTGGTATTCTCTTTACTTTCAGCCAGGTTTCATCTGAGATCAGCAATGATATGCCTGGTATCACAGCCTCTTCTAAATTCTGCTTGAACTTCTGGTAATTCCCTATCTATGCACTTTTCTCATCATTTTGAATATCTTCAGTAGTCTTTTGCTTGCATATGTTAATAATATTCGATAGTTTCCACATTCTGTAGGATCACCTTTCTTGGGAATAGGAATAAATATGGACCTCTTCCAATCTGTTGATAAGAGAGTGGTCATCCAAGTTTCTTCGCATAGACCAGTGAGCGTATCTGGCTTTTTAAATTAAAATAAGTCCATGGGAACCAAGATATAATCTCGAATCTATTCCACATGGATTTCAAAATCATTTTAACAATAGAAGCACTGAACACCAATGATTGAAGACCAGATGAGTTATGGGATGATATCAAGAGTATCATCCAAGAAGAGAGCAAGACAGAGAAGAAAAAACCAAAATGGGTGTCAGAAGAGACTCGAAAACTTGCAGTAGAGTGCCCAGAAGCCAAAACAAAGGGAAAACATGCCAAAGTAGAAGAGCTGAATAGAAGTATTCCAAGGACAGTTCAAGAACACAAAGTATTATATAATTTGATGGGATACTAACTGACTTGAAGGAAACAATATAAAGTGCAAAAATTAGTTTATCTGCAGGCACGGGTCCTAATGCACTGAAGTTGGACAGTGTAAAGTCATTCAATATTACAATCCTTACAATTTCTCGATCCAGTTCTTCTCATAGAAGTACTTCTTTCTTCTTCCTGAGCTGGGTATTACCATACTGCATACAGCTATCTATACTCAAGGAATGATTATGGTTTTGAAGGTAAATATTGGAAAAGCTGTCCCCAAACTACCACCTTTGTCACCTAGGGGTCATTAAACCTGTCCTTTGTTAAGCAAAGATTATGATTACAACTCTTCTCTCATTAGGTTGTTGCTAGGATTAAGTAATAATAATACTGTTGTATGTGGTATTGATTTCCAACCACAGTGACCCCATGTGACAGGCTGAACTGCCTCACAGGGCTTTCTTGACTGACTCAGGCCAAGATCTTTTCAGTTACTTGCTATGCCTCTCAGAGCTGAACAATAATGAATAAGGATGACAGAGAAGAACTGATGCCTTTGAACTGTCATGCTGGAGATAAGCACTGAATATCCCATGGATTACCAAAAGATCAAAGAACTCCAAGGTTTATCTTGGAGAAGGTGCAGCCAGAGTGTTCCTTGGAGGCAAAGATAGCAAAGCTTCGTCTCTCCCACTTTGAACATACTGTCAGGAGAGGCTATTCCTTGGAAAGGGACATCATGCTTCAAAATGAAGTCAGTGTGAGAAAGGAAGACTCTCCAAAGAGATGGACTGAGAGGCTGACTGCAGCAATGGGCTCAGGTGTCTGAGAGACGATGAGGGCAGCACAGGGTAAGACAAGGTTCAGTTCTGTTGTTCACAAGATCGCTGGGGCTTGGAGTTGTACTTGACAGCACACAGCACCACCACCAGCAATCTTTACGGAAGCAGAGCACCTTTATCTCCCACAGAGATGCAAGTGAGTCCCAACCACCAACCTTCCTGTTAGCAGTCAAGTGCTCAAAAGCTTGCTTCACTAGAAAGCTTTTAAATAATTTATTAAAAATGATTACAATGCCTGGTATTCAGTTAAGTGCTCTGTAAAGGTACCTTGTAAACAAAGCAACCCACTGAAAACTACACTACTCTTTCACACTCCAGGGAAAGAAGTTATTTCAGGAATCACTAAGTCAATATCTGCGACTAGGCTTAAACTCTGAAATAATAGATTGGAAGAGTACTGTCCTGTTTCTTAAGCTCTCTTAGATACATTATTGTTTCATTATCATAACAGAATGCTTCAGGAAGGACAAGAATCATCTTAACTCAACTGCTCAAGATCTCCGTGCTGGATAGCCAGATCCTAAACTGTAGTTGTCTTAATACCCTATTTCTCTCACTGCTCTAGGAGCCTTGGTGGCACAGGGTTAGAGCATTTAGTTGCCAACGGAAAGATCATTTGCTTAAACCCACCAGCTATGCTCAATAAAGATCTAGCAGTCTACCTGGCAAAGAACCACAGCCTTGGAAATCCTTTGGGGAACTGCTACTCTTGTCCCATAGGACTGCTAGGAGTTGGGACGGACTTGACAACTGTAGACCATCACTGCGAAGACAGCTAACATCATGACAAATGGAGAAATGACTGAAACTGCCCACTAGTTTCATCATAGTAAACATTCTTGAAACCAGCAGTCAGGAGATTAGGATACATACAGCGATGGGAAAGTCGGCTGTCAGAGACCTCGTCAAAGTCTTTGTTTGACCTTGTCAAACACATTGCCCTATCCTGTGCCAACCTCACAATCTCTGATATGTTCAAGCTGACTTTCACAGTCACTGGGTCAATTAATTTTGTTGGAAATCTGTCTTTCTCTGACCCTCCACCTTTCCCAGTTGATGTGGGATATTCAGTACTCTTTTCCAACACCGTAATTTAAAGTCACCAATTCTTCTGTCATTCTTATTCACTGTCTACCTTTCACATGCATAAAATAATGGAAAAGATAATGTCTTGGATCAGGTACACCCCAGTCTTTAAATGGCTATCATGGTTCTTTATAAGAACCACTTTACAATGGTTTTACTTCTCCACCCATCGGATAACCTCAGAAGTCAATGCTCTGCTGCTTTCTGGAATGCAAGATTTCTACCACTGTTTTTCCTAACTCCTCACCTCCATACCCCAGTAACAAATTCAGAAGTCTCAAATCAAAACATGAGTTGGCATGCAACAATGAATGAATGAAAACCCAAAATCTCTGTAAATGTTCATTAAAACTAATAAAATTTAATAATAAAAAAAAAAACCCAAAACCATGAGTTGGTTCAGACTTGATAGCAAGAAGTTTTGTTCTTACAATGCAAAATATTAATTCCTACCCTAAAAGTTAAGGAAAGACAAAGGGTAAGGGTAATTGGTAACAGAAACAATAAACAACTCTTTACAGACTAAACAGTGAAAAAGATACAGAAGTAAAATGATGCTGATCATAAAACAGAATGAAGCACTCGACTTGACTTCGAGAACTGCGTTCACCAGAAAATACCATTCACTACCACCCCGCCTCCTTATCTCCAAGGAATTTATTTCTTCTGCTATTCTTCAAGAGCCAGGCAATGATGCCATCTATCTTCAAACACTAAGAACATACACTATCGGCCTTGTATCCTGTGGCCTTGCTAAATTTACCACTAGCTATAACCTTCTGGAGCATATGCCTTGGGATTTTTTAAAAATAACACTGCTACAATGTATATTTTCTTTTCTGATCTGAATTCTTAGTCTCTCATCTAGCTCTATCTTTTTTTTTTTTGAGGGGGCCTTTTTGTACTTGTTGGTATAACATAAAAAACGTACTTGTTTTATGGGGTACATGTCCTTTATAAAGCTGAAGAAGTTTTGTTCTGTTCCCAGTTGCTGGGTTGTCATCATACGTAAATGTATTTTGTCGTATATTTTCTGGCTTCTATTGAAATGACTATGTGATCATGTTTCTTCAGCCTGGTAACATGGTTCATACATTGGTATTTGAACACTGAACTAGCCTTTCATTCCTTACAAAGGAATTACTTTTACATATTGCTAGATTTAATTCACTAATATTCTCTGTTGGGACTTTACGTTTCTAGGCTCATGACAGGAGTCTTGGTGGAGAGGAGTTTTAACCACTGTAGGTGAAACACTGAGCTCTAACCACTAACCAAAAGGTCAGATGGTGAGGAAGGTGCAGGATCCAGGCAAGGTTTTGATCGCTAGCACATAGGGCTGCTATGAGTCAACACAACAAAATGTCAGAGGCTTGAATCTACCAGCTACTGAATAGAAAAAAGACGTGTCAGTCACCTCTCATAAAGGTCACACCCTTGGAAACTTTATGGGCACTTCCACCCTCCCCTCTAGGTTCTCTTCGAGCCAGAGTTTGATTTGATAACAGAGTTCAGACTGATGAACTATTAATCTGGAATTTTTAGATCTGGTTCAACTTATTAATACAAAATTGTTTATATCATTCCCTTATCATTCTTTGATTCCTAAAGTAGGTAACTATTTCCTTTTCCCTTTTATTGGTAATTTGGTGAGAGATTTATTAATTATATGCTTTTTTTCCTTATAGAACCAGCTTTCCTTTTCACTCAGTATTACTGGGTTTTTTTTCTGATTTCATTGATTTTGCACCAATCTTTTGACTGCTTTTCTCCTAATGTGCTCTTTTTCTAGTTTCTTAAGTTTTAAGTTTAAACTACTGATTTGAGACTTTACATTTCCTTCCAACACTGTGTTAGCTGTAGATCACCAAGTTTGAGAAGCTGTATTTTTATTCGATTAAAAATATTTTCCAATTCCCCTTAAGAATTTTTTTGACGGGTGGGATTTATGCTGACAGTGAAGCATGCTGATAAATATTTAAGTTGTTGTTGTTAGGAGCCTTTGAGCAGATGATGACTTGTAGACCCATATGAACAGATCTGAACCTTGCCTTATCCTGTGCCATCCTCCTGGTTGCTGCAGAAGATCAAATACTACAACCTTCAATATGGATTACATCCCAACAGCAGGTGTACAAATATCCTCAATCTTTGGAGCACAATGACTCCAATAAGCACTGTGAGAGAAGACTGAAGGTGTCAACAATTTTACCCAGGGTAACAAATCAAGAGATGTGCTGCATTGGGGAACTGCTATCAGGGACTTCCTCCAAAGTACTGATGAGCAAAGATGTCAGTTTGAAGACTAAAGTGTGCCCGATTCAGGCTATGGTCTTTTCAATCACTTACTATGAATCTGAGACCTGGACAATAAGGAAGACAAAAGAAAAACTGATGCCTTTGCATTGTGCTGGAGCGAGCTCCAAAGGGCCCAAGAGCAAGGATGTCGCAGTCGAGACTAAGGTGCACCTGAGCCAAGCCATGGAGAAGAGTACTGAATATCTCATGAACTGCTGGAAGAATAAACAAATCTGTCTTGCAGAAAGTACAATCAAGGCTCTCCTTAGAGACAACAGAGACAATACATCTTAAATCAGTACTCTGAATCCTTCAGCTTTACTTTTGGTTTTACATCGTTGTTTCGGATGGTGTGTTCTTTGGCTTTTTCATATAAAATCTATAATCAGTTTGCTTATACCCAAAAGTTATCCCCCTCAGACTCTGATTGTGTTAAATCTATAGACACTTTTGGAAAACTGACCGAGTAACTATATTAAGCCCATTTCTTTAGGTTTCTTTTGATTTGTTTTCAGACTTTTACCAATTTCAGTATATAGCCTGCTCCTGTATGTAGTTTTCTCAATGATGGAAGAAAAAGGGTTCCCTGTTACCCATCAGAATTAAGGATGTATCATCTTTCCCCACCTCCTTTCGGAGATAAAGGCCCTATTAAAAAAAAACAAACAACAAAACAATACCACCCCCCCCCATCAACCTATAGTACAGAAATTTGCTTAACTTGGGTTACCTAAGTATTTATCAAATTAATCTGATTACAGCCCTTTTCTAACATCTGCTGAGTGTGAACGCATGAAAAGGAATGCTCCTGCTAAGTCACACTGTTCACATTAAAATTTGTGGGTACTGTTCTTAACTGATCAAGAAGAAAAGGACTTGAAGTTCTAAATTTTTAGAAACTATAGTGAAAACATTCTGGCCAAAAGCACGCTCCAAAAGTACTGCACCTGAACTAAGGCACTGTAAATGTCAAGTCACACAGTAAAAGGAAAGGTAAAACGGGGACTAAAAGTCAAATCTGTTGAATACTGACATTAGATGAAAAAACGGAAACCTTAAAAATATTAGTAAGTATATATCTCAACTGGGCTAACGATAGTACAACTACAAGACAGAATGAAGGCATTTTTTTTAAATCACAGGAAACATTTTTATTATATCCAAGGTTGTTGTTCTTCAATCAAGAGTTATGAGAATGAAAGTTTTGTTTTATTAAAACTTGTTTTAATAGAAATTTACAGGCTTTTAGAAGTATGAAAACTGAACATTTGCACGCAGGCCAACCTGGTCAATTTTCAATCAATTTTAAGACATACTATAAAGGTTCATAAATCTGGATCCTTTAGTTAATGGTGTATAGATCCTCTAAAAAAATGTGCTCTGGAACTTGCTCACAAGCGAGCATCAGAGGTGAGCCTGGCGGGTCAGGAATCCTGACCACGGACGTGCAGCTCGCCATCTTCGCCAACATGCTGGGTGTGTCGCTCTTTCTGCTTGTCGTTCTTTACCACTACGTGGCCGTCAACAATCCCAAGAAGCAAGAATGAGAGTGGCGCTTTCCCCCGTCCTAGGGTTCCAGGACATAGTCTGAGGCAAGATGGAGGGTGTGAGGGGCCTTCACACTTCACTTCATCCCTTTTGTCCATCACAACATACAAAGCAACTACATCTGGATTTTTCCAAACAACTTTTATTTCCTCAAAGTCTTCCTTAACCCTATGGAACAAGAAGCTGCCACCGAATAGGGCCCAGTATAGGGGCTGATTTCTTTTCTACTCCCCCAATATAAAAATATAGCTATATAATTAAAAAAAAATTTGCTGAAATAGTAATTTTTTTGTTTCAACCAATATTTTCTTAGAAAACAAATTTAAAAATAATAAAATTTACCTTGTTATGTGCCTTCCAGTCACTTACGACTCATAACAACACGACCTTATGTACAACAGCCTTGTACCCTGCCTGCTCTCTCCTGTGCCAATCTTAATTGTCTCTGACATACCTATCCCCATTACCTCAGTCACTGAATCAATCCATCTCTTTACCTCACATAAACTCTTTCATGTCTATATTTTCAATTGTATAACGGCACAAGCAGTACAATGGAATTTTGTACCAATGCCATTCTTTAAAGCTTTATCCTCTTAACTGGGGGGAGGAGGAGTTAGGAAAATAGCTTGATAGTTTGTACAGGCCCAATGTTGTTGTTAGGTATTCTCAAGTCCAGTATGACCCACAGCAACTATATGAACAACAGATCTGAACCCTGTCCTATCCTGTGCCGTCCTCACACTTTCTGACACATTAGAGGCCACTGCGGCAGTCACTGTGTCAATTCACCTGAGGGGTCTTCTCCTTCATCAACTCTCTTCCTTTCGGAGCATTAAGTCCCTCTCTAAGAGGAAAAGCTCCTCCTAGCAATATGTCCAAATTATATGAGGCAAAGCCTCACTATCTTTGCCTCTGAAGAGCACTATGGACTGCACCCTCTCCAAGACATACTTGTTTGTTCTTTGGCAGTCCATGAGATGCTCAGCACTCTTCTCTAACACCACAGTTCAAATGCATAAATTCTTCCATCATCCTTAATCACTCAGCTCTCAGATGAATAGGATGTGATTGGAAAGATCACAGGCCCATAGGTTATCTGATCTGTCTGAGATTGCAGCCAAGTGGTGAAACCAGACTCTTAATGTAAATTTTCTAATGCCAAGTTCAATGTCATTTACTGCAGTATGCTGATACTGATAAAAAGGCAGGAGAATATTAAGTTGGGAGCAAGAGGTGAGTATGAGTGAAAAAGATGCAATAAAAAGATCAGCTAAAAAAAAAAAGGTCAGCTCAAAATGCAAATGTTTTTACACTAGTACTTTCTTCCTAGTTGTTTGGAATCACTCCCATCCATTCCGCCTCCTCCCCCATGCTCTAGATTATCTTTATGTTTACCTTGATCTATATCTGCAGTTCTCATTAATTTTTATTTTAAGCCTAGTCTTATTAGTTCATGCTATGCCTTTACTTCTGGGTCAAATCAGGCACTCCTGCATGTAATTCATCACAGTTCCTTACTTATGAGATGAAGGCAAAGCATGTAGATTTATACCTAGATCTCAGAAACAGGCAGGCGCGGGGGCTTCATAATTACACAGAGTAACTTAATATTTCCAAAATCAGTTATGGACTTTGTTGTTATGTGCCACTGAGTCCCCTAATGCCCCTAATGTACAAGAGCTCTGAACTCTGCTCTACCCTGAGCCAGTCTCACCGTCTTCAACACACCTATCCCCATTATCCCAGTTACTGTGTCAATCCATCTCATCCGAGGTCTTCCCCTCCTTCACTGGACTGGAATTATTTACACAGCATTAGGTTATGGCTACACTAGATTTAGTATACTTGGGTTTGATAATTCCAATATTAGAAAACTGTTTCAATGGTTTAGCTAGTATCAGGCTTAATCTCTGTACCTAATAGTGTGTAGTTGGAGAAGGAAAAGGAAATGAAAAAGTAAACCCATAATGTATGACATACAAATCTAAGATACAGTTTATTAACAAAGACAAGAAGACTTTAGAATCACATGAAGATCAAGAGATCATAATTAACTGCTTCCTATAGCAGCAAAAACAGTAAATTACAACTTCTACATGACAGGATTTATATTTTTTAAAATTATTATTAATGTTAATGAAAATTTACAGAGACTTTGGATTTCCATTCATTCATTGTTGCACTTTTCTCCCCGCCCCCCCCCAGTACACTCTTCTCTTTGAAAAGAAAAATTCTTTCATTGTTTTACAATCCCTCCCCGAGGTCCACTCCACCATGTAGCCTTCACTCTAGACTCCTGTCATTACAATAATACCTAATCACATATCCCTTTTAAACAGTTTTCTCCCTCATCTGTTTCAATGAAGTATACATTGTTTATCCCATCCTTTTCAGTCCCCCCCTAACCCCGATGTCAGTCTTGTTTTACAACAGTGGCAATATGCAGCATTTGTCCTTTTGTGACTGAGATATCTCTCTCAGCATAATGCCCCTCCAGGGTCACTACAGGATTTACGTTTTTTTAAAAAATTCTTTTTAATTGTGATTTTAATACAGAAAGGTTGGGTTGCATTAATTGTTGTCAATTTTCCTCCCTCCCTTAGTCCTAGCTCCAGTGCACTTGTTCCAGATTGCTGTCATATATATGTATATATAAATTTAAAAAATATGCCTAATCATACATTCCTTTCAGACAGTTCTTCCCCTCATCTGTTCTCAATTCTCTTCCCAGCACCCCATGCCAGTCCTATTTTGTAACAGGGGTGCTATGCAGTATTTGTCCTTTTATGACTGAAATGTTTCACTAAGTCTAATGTCTTCCAAGTTGACCCATGCAGTGTAGCATTTTACGAGTTCTTTGTCAATGGTAATATTCCATTGTGTTAATGTACCAATTTTTTTAATTTTAATTTTTTTCTTTATTATTATTTTGTGTGCATGTACCGTCAAATCAGATCTGACTGGTACAGGAGGATATTGCGCCTCCTTCTCCGGCAGAGCATCTGGTGGATTCGAACTGTGTTCCTCTGGGATTGCAGTGCAGCTTCTTGCCACTAGGCCACCAGAGCTCCCCCTAGTTTTTTTAATTACTTTTTTGTGTGTACCGTCAGGGCAACACTGCATGGTTCAAAACTGGAAGGGTGTACGCCAGGCATGTGTCCTATCTCCATACCTTTTCAACCTATATGCAGAACAGATCATCCGAGAGGCTGGGCTCTATGAGGAGAAGCGTGGCATCAGGATCGGTGGAAGATCTATCAACAATCTGTGTCATGCAGATGACACAACCCTGCTCGCTGAAACTGAGGAGGACCTCATGCACTTACTGCAGAGGGTCAAGGACTGCAGCCTTCAATATGGACTGAGGCTCAATGTTAAGAAGACGAAAATTCTCACCACTGGATCAATCAGTAGCATCAGGATGGATGGCGAAGAGATTGAGATTGTTCACAGCTTCAGTTTGCTCGGTTCCACGGTCAACACTCTTGGCACCAGCAGCCAGGAAATCAAAAAACGTATTGAGATAGGACAGTCTGCTGTTAGGGACCTCTCTAAAGTACTCAAGAGCATCGGTGTCTCTCTGGAGACTAAGGTCCACCTGATACAGGCCATGGTTTTTGTAATCACTTGTTATGCATCAGCGAGTTGGACAATGACTAGGGAGGATAGAAGGAGAATTGACGCCTTTGAGCTGTGGTGCTGGAGAAGAGTATTGAATGTACGTACCATGGACTGCCAAGAAAACAAACAGATTCATCCTAGAGAGGGTTAAACCAGGCTGCTCCTTGGCGGCAAGGATTCTGGGGCTTCGCTTGACATACTTTGGACATGTTGTAAGGAGAGACAGGTCTTTAGAGAGGGACATCATGCTGGGTAGAGTAGAGGGACAGCGCAGGAGGGGAAGACCCTCTATGAGGTGGATTGATTCAGTGACTGGGGTAATCGAGATGGGAGTGTCAGAGACAATGAAATTGGCACAGGACAGAGCACGGTTTAGGGCTGTTGTACATTCGGTCGCTATGAGTCGCAAACGACTCGACAGCACATAACAACAACAACAACCGTCAAACTGGAGTTGACTGGTACAGGAGGAGATTGTCCCTTCTTCTCCAGCAGAGGATCTGATGGACATGAACTGCTCACCTCTGGGACTGCAGTGTAGCTTCTTGCCACTAGGCCACCAGAGCTCGCCTAACATGCCACAGTTTCTCTGTCCATTTGTTTGATGATGGGCACTTGGGCTGCTTCCATGTCTATGCTACTGTAAATAAAATAAACATGGATGTGCATTCAAGTTGCAGCTCTGGTTTCTTTAGGGAGGGGATTTACTGATTTAATCATTCATTGGTCCTGTAACAAACAGATGGACTATGAAACAATACTGTGGGAGTTATCAGGGCTCTCCTGTACACATTGTTGGCAAGCACTTCCTCACCCACCTGAGGTAGCCAGAGGGCTTGCTTAGATGGCTGCAATACACAGAGTCATGTCTCACTTAATGGCTACATATATTCTGTGAGCTAGGACACATGATTTGAACTTTATGGGCCTACTAACTTATGTGAAATCAGACACTGTGTGAATGAATGGATGTTATCGAGCACAAGTGTGTTCCTTCCATGTACTGTAATTACTTTCAACACCTCAGCATGGTCTCTCATCCTTCATGCACAGGAGAAAGCTAGCTGAGATGGTGGCTGCTCCTTTGGCCTGGGCTCCTGATTAAAATAAGCTGTGCTTTGGGTTAACACTGAAATTTTAGTGGTTTTGCTGTTGTTACTGCATCAAGAATTAAGCTTATAGCGACTAATAAGACTATGAAACTGTTATCTAAGACACATTCATGTATCAACTAGTTCCAGTTCTACTAACATTACTAAAAGGGTAACTAGATTGAACAGAGTGGTTCCACATTAATTTCACAAAGTTGACAACGTACTTCTCATTTTACAGTTTCTTGTAGCTTAGTAGTAAGGAGCTGGTGCCCAGTTCAAGCCATCAGCAGCTCCTCAGGTGAAGTAAATCTCCTGTGAGACTTCATACCTCTGAAAACCGCTGGAGGGTCAATTATGAGTTGGCTCCAACACAAGGGAACACAACAAGAAATACGTCAACTTATTTTTATTATTTGTAGTCTTTAGAGGTATTATAGACATAACTGCACTTGGCTGCTCTAAGAAGAATGAGAAGCCTAGGGAGTTCAAGGAGCTTGTGTAAAGTCACAAAGTGGCTAAGAGCAAGTAGAATTCAGGAACTTCTATTTCTGTTTGTTGGCTCTTTTCAATGTACCACAGTGAAACAGTCTGTTAAAGACAATGCAACTTTTCCCTGAAACTCAAGTAGTATAGAATACCTAGAATTCCCAACTCAAAACATATTGCCGCTTTATTTTCTAGGCAGAAATTCTAATAAAGTAACAATTCTCAAATACCACCTGGATCATCTTTCCAAGCTGATTATAAACAAGGGTAGGAAAGAATCTTGAAATACCAATGCATTTGTTTCTCACTTCCCCCAGAAAGAAACAGAATAGTCCATTAGCAGAATAAGGAAGGAAGAAAAAGACAGAGGCTATCTCCACGATTTACAAAACTAGTAGCTGTATTAATCTGGAAAAGTCACAGTATTTTAATTTTAAAGTTTGTGTACATATACGCACAAATTAGCTTTCTGAGCCACAGTTGATAGGGAACTTTTAGCCAAATACATTGAAACTATATCAGAATGCTAACTGGGCCTTATGAGGAGTAGCACCAACCTTTTAGAACCTCAATAGTGTTAGATTTTGCTATGTACATCCAAAATATTAACCCCCCCCCACAAGTTGAATAGGGAGCCCTGGGAGAAAGATGGGCACTCTTCCTCTTATTACAATTTACAGATCAGAAACCCCAAGATTGTCACTGGGCGTGGGAATCAGCTCCCCAGTAGTGAGCTTTAGTTTATATGCAGTGTCCAAACAGAAGAAAGAACTTTATCTTTTATGTCAAACAGATCTAAACTCAAGTTACCTGTCAAGTATTTAAATCTGTTACATGAGGCAACCACTTAGCAGGGTTAAATGACACTAGGACAGTAACTATTACAGTACATGGCAGAGAAAGCCAACAATTTCCTTACACACACACTCGCACGCGCGCATAGTCGGCAACAGCTTACAACAGCACAGTCCCTGCACCAACACCCCCCCCCCCAAACATGTGCATACACTGCATTTCAGCTGTTTTAGAGCTTGAAGGGCAGCCCCACTTTCAGAAACTGGGAAAACCTGTCCCAAGGAGACTTTTTAAGGCAGACTGGAATATATAAAGCACTAACTGAAGGGGGGAAAAGTGACACTATATACTACCACATAGTAGTAGGATCAGAGGACATAATAGAGCTCAATAAAAGCAAAAACACAGCCAAAGTATGGTGCATGGCGGACAATTCACTGGAGTGTAGGGGAAAATGGAAAACATTCCTATTTTTATCTCATTGCTTTAAAATTTTCACGTTTTATAATGTGTATATAATTATATAATGTGTATAATATCCTGGTACATTTATGAGGCCAGAGAGTACACATACCACCAATCAAAGCAACTAATGACAATATTTAAAGATGCTCATTCACTTTAACCAATAACAAAATCTTCAGTTATTTAGTAGTCTTATAACAACTGAATTGATGACATTCAATATTTATTTAAAACGTAGTTAAGAACAATTACAGTGTTCTACATTAACTTATTTTTAAAATTAACTGGCTACCAATGGAACAAATTGGGACAAAATCCACTGACTTAAACCTCATGTTAACCACAGATGATTATGTCTTGCAGGCATACATTTTTAAGTCTCCACTTCCTAACTTTATATAACATTATTGGTTCCAAATGATATGCAAACTTAAAAAAGCAATTATCAATGTAACATCTACACATGACCATTAGGGAGAGTAAATACGAGGTCAAATACACCATAAAGTTTCATCACCATCAAAAGTATTGTTTCTTTTTCTTGGTAGAAGACAGTGGAAGCACAGGCCATTTATGAGCTGTTAGTCTATATGACTCAGAATTCCATTTGTCCTCCTCTTTGCTTCAGAGCTGAAGTCATAAATATCTCCATCTGTGACATAATTATTTCCAGAACCAATTAAGAGATGTCAAATATAAAATTATGACTTCAGGTAAGGAATAAAATAACAAGAGTGGATAATAATTCTTAGAGATAAACCTGTAGTTTACTGAAACCAAGCAAGTAAATGAAATGATTTGCCCTATTCTACACACTTAGGGGGGAAAAAATAGGTCCTCTCCCATGAGAAATGATCACACTGTTGTTAAGAGGATGCAACACACATTAGAAGTCTTCTAGCTATCCTCAGAAGTGAGGCAATAAAAGCCTTTGCAGTTTTTATTACTGGGCTGCTGGGGCATGGGGGTGGCAAAGGGGTCAATGATCCACTACTTGAATAGTTCCAAACAAGAAAAAGGGCAAGACTTGCTGCTTTTAAGATAAGATAGAGTGAGATGACATACTTTTAGCAATCCTGTCAACTCTGGGAAATGATTAAGTGCAAGAGGAATTGTCAGCAGTTTGTCTCCATGTCTAAAGACATAAATATGTCCACATTTTCTTAACTAATGTAAGCACAATTCTATAAAAACAAACCAAAAAGCACACTAAGGCTTAATCCATTTTGCTATTTATTATTTGAAAGCCGGTACAAAACAGAAACCTAGAATTATGTTCTTCAAATGAGAAACACTGAGTGACCAAAGTTTACATGAAATGCAATCGTTTATTTGTCCCTTATTATAACTAGCATGCACAGGTTCTCTTCCTTTTTATCCTACACCTGTCACTCTAAGCACACGGAGGAAACTGAGGAACAGTGCCAGGGAGAACCCACACCCACAGGCTTTCACAGACTGGCCTGAATACTGACCCCTTTTCACCACTTCCTTTTACAGATCTGAGGTATGAACAAAACTGCTAGCCCAGTTCACTCGGGGGACTATCCCTCCACACCCTTCCTTTCACGGTTCCCCATCTCTTACCTACTCCAAGGCTCCCGAGCTAATGTGTTCACTTTGATCTCTACGTGGTCAGGGCCATTTATGAGGTTTATCCATTTATGAGCCCTTCTCTCACTTATTAGACTGTTAGTTTGTTAAAAGCAGGAAGTTTGAATCAACCTCCCGTTCTCAACCATCAAGAACTCAAATACTTTGCAAAATACATGTCTGACACAGTTGGTTATCTGTTGATGGTCTCAAAAGGAATGGCCAACTCATCCTTGCAATGCAGACTGAGGTGCTGTCACCTTCCCCTGCGTGGGTGGCACCGTGACTCTCCATAGGTGTGAGTCCATTCCAACTCATGGGGACCCCCCACCCCTGTGTGCGGAGCCGAACTGCACCCCAGGGTTTATGAGGCAGTGACCTTCAGGGTGGGTCTGAAACCTTTCAGCTAACCTTTTAGCCAGTAGTTGGGGGCTTAACCCTTTGTCTCTGGGACCCTTTATGCTAAATGTGGCGCGCAAAACGAAACACACACGGAGCAGAGTTGACTTCTCCAACTGAAAGGGGTAAATCATCTTTTCTCTCAAATGGCACCATCTTTGGGCAACGCCTTTAAGCGCCAAATCACCAACCGGTCTGAAACTCTTTCCTTTACCCGGATATTATTAAAAATCCTAGAGTTAAGAGCGGAGCCCAGGCTGATATCTGAAACCAGCACTTCGACAGCTCTCTGATTTATGTGTACTTCTGACCACTTGGGAAAGATGAGATCATTTAAGCAGCAGCAGCAGCAGCAGCAGCAGCAGCATCTCATTCTTTTGACCCCCACAATGCTCTCCATCTAACAGAGAAGCTGCAGAAGCATCGACCTCGTCGTGTGCCCCGCTGTTCCGCGGCGGCGGGAGGGGATACCCCAGCTCTTTCATGGGGGTGGGGTGGGGGGCATTTCCCATCACAGGACCTTCCCTAAAAATGTCAGCGGCAGAGGCCCCCTCCCCCCACCTCCACAAAGCTACCCCAGGCATCGCAGACATCGGTCCTTTGTCTGCACGAGGTGGGAGGAGTCTGTCTGCAGAGCGGGTGTGCTGGCGAGGCGAGCCCAACGCACTCACCCCTGGAAACGCACAAAGTTTCTCAACTCCACTGCCTGTCCGTCCAGTGGCCCCCGCCGGGCACCCCGGTGTTCCCCGGGCGCTGTCCGAGCGCCGCAGGGGACACAAGGCCAGCGAGGGAGGCTGCAGCTGCCCAGCCAAGTCTCGGGACAGCTGGGGGTCACCTCCACCCCTGTGTGCGCAGCCTTCACCCCTTCCCGGCACGGGGTGGGGGGCCGAGCGCCCCTCCACCACCCCCCCCAGCTTTTTACAAACCAGCCACCAACTTGCCACCTGGAAGCTCAGCGCTCACCGCACAAGTGCTGCGACCCGACCTTTTACCACGTCGCTGAGCTTTTTTTATATTTTTTTGGGGGGTGGAGTGGACACGCCATCCCCGGGTTCCACGAGTACGGGCCCGAGCCCAGAGCCCCGTCGGATGGGGTGGCTCCAGCCCCCGGACACCCCTGACAATGCAAACCGAGTGGACGGCAGGGGCTCCGCAAGGTGACCCATCCGCGCGCCTCGGCGCCTCCCCGATCCCCGGGCGGCGGACTCTGGGGGTCACTCGCCGGCTCCCCACCCACGCCCCGGACCCAGCCCCGTCGGGCTCCCCTCCCCGCACTCACCCTGGCGCCCCACGATCTCGGCGACGTGCTCGGAGCTGGGCACCGGGACGCACTCGGTGGTGTTGACGCTCTTCCTCCGGAGCAGGGCCGCCTGCCCCCCGTTGAGCGCGGCCGCCGCCGCCCCGCAGCCGCCGGGCCCGTAGGCGTGGGACAGCATCGCCGCCATCATGCCCTGGGCATCGTCCGCTCCGTAGAGCACCCCCGCCGCCGCGGCCGCCTCCCGGGCATCAGGAGAAGCCGGCGGCGGGCAGCAGCACCGAGCCCAGGGACCCACCCGGGGTCGGCGGGGTCTGGGAGGTGGCGGAAATTTAATTTTTTTTTTTTTTTTTAAAAGACCTATTTGGTTTTTGCTGAGTTTTTTTGTTTTTGTGTTCGGTTTGGTTTGGGGTTTTTTAGCAGTCCATAGTGTATGTTCAGTACTCTGACTGTGGAGCAGCAGTGAGCAATCTGTGAGTTGTTCTGGTTTTACCTCAGTACTCACTACTCCTGAATAGCTAACACTGTTTCATTCATTTAAGATCTTTCTGATTCAACTGATTTCTGTTCACCTGGAGCAGCAATAGAGGAGAGTGGCTTCTTGAACTACCTGCTAGTCCATAAGGCTAAAATTGGACAGAGCGCAGACATCATTATTGAATGTTTTGATTGACGATTCTATAGAAGAATCTTATCAAAGTGGGGAGAATGTGGAACAGGATCTCACATGCTTGTTGAATGACTTTTTAAAGTTAATGAGTTTGAATAATCCCCGGAAGGAATTGCATTTAGATAATCTTTAAACTTATAACAAAACTGCCCACCAAAGTTATTTATAAACTAAATAATGTTGGTGTTGTTAGGTACCATCAAGTTAGCTCCCACTCATATTATTGCTGGTAGGTGCTTTCCAGTCTACTATTGCTCATAACAACCCTATGAACAGATGTGAACTCCGTCCTGTACCATCCTCATCATCGCTAACATACTTGAGTCCATTGCTGTAGTCACTGCATCAATCCATCAACTCATTGGTCATCTTCCTCTCTTTCGTTGACACTTCACCTTTCCAAATATGATGTCCCTTTCCTAGAAACAGTCCTTCCTGACCACATGCCCAAAGTGTATGAGATGAAGCTTTGCCATCCTTGTCTCCAAGGATCACCTGGCTGCACCTTCTAAAGACATAGAAATTCATAAGCAACTAAGTACTCCTCTACAACACTGCAAACTCAAAGGCATCGATTCTTCCTCTGTCATCCTCAGTGATTGTCCAGAACTCAAATGCATAGCAAATTACTAGAAAGACCATGGCTTGAATCCAATGCACTGTAGTCTTCAAACCTATAACATTGTTCCTCAGTACTTTGGAGAAGTCCTTAACAGCCGACTTTGCCAAGACATCACATATTTTGATTTCTTGACTGCTGGTGCCAAGGGTGTTGATTGTGGACCCAAGCAAGATTAAATCGTTAACAATCGCAGTCTTTTTAACTATCATGTTTCCTGTCGGCCCAGTGGTGAGGACTTTTGTCTTCTTGATGTTGAGATGTAATCCATATTGAAAGCTATTGTCCTTGATCAAGTGTTTCAAATCCTCTTACCTTTCAGCAAGATCGTGTCATCTGCAGTGGTTGTTGATGAGTCTTCATCTAATCCTGATAGTGCATTTTTCTCTATAGAACCCAGCTTTGTTGATGATTTGTGCAGAATACAGATTGAATAGATATGGAGAAAGGATACAACCCTGACACACATCTTTCTTGATTTTAGGCCATGCAGTGTTCCCTTGCTCTGTTTGCACAACAGCTTATTGGTCTAGGTATAGCTTCATATGAACCTTATTAGATATTCTGAGATTTCATTCTTCTTAAAGTGAAGCATAGTTTGTTATGATCCACACAGTCAAATGCTCTTGCATAGTCAATAAAACACAAATAGACATTCTTCTGATAGTCTCTTCTTTCAGCCAGGAGCCATCTAACATCAGCAATGATATCCCTCATGCCATGGCCTCTTCTAAACCCAGCTTGAACTTCTGGCAGTTCACTGTCAGTGTATTAGTCTAGCTGTTTTTTTAATGATCTTTAGCAATATTTTGCATAATGTGATATTAATGATATTGGTTTATAAGTTCCATATTCTGTCGACTCACCTTTCTTGGGAATGGGAACAAATCTAGCTCTCTTCCAAGTTTCCCAGGCTTAGCTGATACCATTTCCACTGACTCAAACATTTGGTAATACCATTTCAGACAAGAGTCTTATAACAAAGTTTACAGAATATTCTTGGGCCTCCACAAGAAAAAGACTGGTAACTCAATTACAAAGTGGGCAAAAGACATGGAAAGAATCTTCACAGGGAAAGATATTCAAGTGGCAAACAGACACATGAAGAAATGCTCCAAATCCTAGTAATAAGAGATATGCAAATTGAGACCACAATGAGGTACCATCTCACTCCAGTAACAGTGGCAAAGTTTAACAGGGTAGCAAGTAAGTAATAAATGTTGGAGAGGATGTGGCAAGAAAGAAACTCTTATACATTGTTGGTGGGATTGTAAAATGGTTCAAGCATTCTGGAAGTATGGCCCTTCCTCAAAAAGCTGCACATAGAAATTCCATATGACCCAGCCATTCCACTACTTGGAATAAACCCTGAGAAAATGTGAACTGAGGCACAAATGGAGACTTGTACACCAATGTTCATAGAAGCATTATTGACCATCACAAAAACATGGAAATAGCCCAAATGTCCAACCACAAACGAATGGACTGAGAAATTATGGTACACAATGGAATACTATGGAGCATGTAAAAGCAATGATTTTGTAAATTATTATCTGACTTGGGAGGGACTGGAGAGCATTATGTTGAGTGAACTAACTCAGTCCCACAAGGATAAATATCATATAAAACCATTATTGTGGAATGAGTATAAGAATCCAAGAGGGGTGGGAGGGTGGAAGCAGAAAGGTGAGGATGTTCAGGGAGAGGGAGGATTAATTACAGAGTTGTACAATTTGATGGAGGGGTGATGTATTCGAATTTTATAAATAAACTTGTTATTGTTGTTGTTATTTGCTGTCAAGTCACCTATGACACATAGCAACCCTACATACAACAGCCCTAAACCCTGCTCTAATCCTTGCCAATCTTATTGTCTTTGACACACCTATCCCTATTACCCCAGTGACTGAATCAATCCTTCTCATCAAAGGTCTTCCTCTTTTGTGCTGTCCCTCCACCCTCCCAAGCATGATGTCCCTCTCCAAGGACTGATCCCGCCTTGCAACATGTCTAAAGTATGTCAGACAAAGCTTCAGAATCCTTGCCTCCAAGAAGCAGACTGGCTTCACCCTCTCCAGGATGAACTTGTTTTCCTGGCAGTCCATGGTATATTCAATACTTTTCTCCAGCACCACAGCTCAAAGGCATCAAATCTCCTTCTATCATCCCTAGTCATTGTCCAGCTAGCTCTCTGATGCATAGCAAGTAATTGCAACGGTCATGTCATGTATCAGGTTCACCTTAGTCTCCAGACTGACATCGTTGCTCTTTAGTACTTTGAAGAGGTCTCTGACAGCGGCTTTCCCAATGCAATTTGTCTTTTAATTTCTTGGCTGCTGGAACCACAAATAAACTAGTAGAAAATTTTTTAACAAAAGAAAATATGGTAATTCTGGTAGGAGTTGCATTTTTAGCTCTAAAGTGGCACCTCACTGGTAATTCAGCTCCACCAGTGGCTCCATGAAACAAAGATGAACAATCTCTTCCCATCCTTTGGTTCAATTCAAAGCCTTGGAAACTCAGTAGAGTCAACTATGAGTTGCTTCTGACATAATAGCCATGAGACAGAGAATGTACTTAGGTAAATGCAGACCAACAAGGAAAAATGTGCCATGTGATGAAGTGACTTACAAAAAAACAATAAATATAGGAAATAATCTCAGTTTTCAGACAACGGTAATTTCAAAACTTTACAAAATTATATGGAAAAGTGCTATTGTGCTTGTACTATGTGTATACATGTGTATGTACAATTATTCAGGCAAAAATATCCATATAAGATCAAAGCCATGTGTTCCCTTCTCAGGGCTCCAAAGGACCTGTGGAGGCCAACAATCATGTAGACCCAGACTGTGTCCTTGACTTGCTGTTGTTGTTGCTACATATAGGAAGCCAAATTTCATACTAAATATTTGTAATAAACCAAATGCTACATCAGGTTATGAGGAAGGCTGATACAAGCTGGAATTCATCCCAAAGTACTAAGGAAATCCTTAAATGTTTATAGGGTTAGACACGAAGGCAATCCTTAAGGGTTTACAGGATTCTTGCATTGTAGTTGCTAACCCCTCCCTCCTGGATCAAGCAAGTTTTCAATAGAAAGAGCTTAGCTTCATTTGCATTGAATTCTCTTGGTGATTTGCTCCCTGGCAATTTTCAATAAAGACACAGGGAAGCTAGGATACTTCTGTTCACTTCAGTTGTTTGAGAACTGTTCGCCTCCTGCTTTACCTGTTTTCTCCTACATTCTTGGTGTTCTGTCTCATTATTAATATTTATTAATATACTTTACCCTCGGTCTGCAACAGTTACATATCGTCAAGTCCAAACCCATCCATAACTGACCCTCCACAGGATTTTAGGAGGCAGTAAATTGCACAGGAGTTTGTCCACCTTCCTTTTGTGGAACATCTGGTGGTAGATATGAACCACATGTCTTCAGGCTGGTAGTGCAGCTCCTCACCAAGAGGCCACTCCTCTGCACAGAAAGTCTTGTCAAAAAATAACTAGTAATATGAGGATGACGTTACACAATCCTGGGGATTACACATTGCCAGGCATGCTTTATTGCATAGAAAGACAAGAACATACACAACAGCTCATGAATTTCTTGTGCAAACATCTCCATAAATTTCTCTGGAAAGGGCTTGGGTAAATTTTCAAGAAGGGATCTTGTCACAACTCACATCAGAACAAAAGTGCAATGGCTTAGTGTCTGACATTTAAACATTCACACAAGTCTTGGTAATGCGATTCATGCTTCAGCTTTCTGCCATCTTCCCTGGTCGCCAAAGAAGACAGGGCACCAATCAGGCTAGTGAATCCCTGCTAGTCACAGTCGACTCCGGAGCACTGTGGCTCAAGGACTGCAGTGGTTTCTTCCTTCACCTCCAGGAAAGCTCCACGCTCTTTGGAAAAAGTGGTTTTACTCTCAAGGCAGGCTTCTGCCACACAGTCAGGGTCATTTCTGTGCTTGTTCTTCAGTCTTCTTTTGTATGTCTGATATGCTAGACATTAAAAAGACAAGTATTAA